TCTTTGTAACATGTATTACACCCAATCATTAAATAGTAAAATCTACACAAAAGTTTGAATCGACAAAACTTTCCCTCTTTGTTCTTTCTTTTTCCCTTTTTTATACATAAAACTCAAATAACATCCAAAAACCCATGGAAATCTTTCCAAACTGCAAATTGAAAACTCCCAGCATAGACTATAGCATTGTAAAAGCGAAATTGATCGAGTGGGGAAATTATAAAGGGTAGAAACTTGACCAACAGGATTAATGATATGGAGGAGTCCTTTGCCTATGCATGAAAGCGAAATACGACTTTGTCATTCTTAACTTTTGAGGCAAATTTTGTCTATAACACAACGTCATTCAAATTTCGGATAGTTAATTTGAATTTTATGTGGGTGTGCTTTTTTTAATAAATATTGTTGATGAAATGACATGATAACATTCTAGAGATATCCGTACTTGGCTCTGTGGCGTCCTTTTCGTGTACAGATTGTGACAAGCACCTTCTATCTTCGTATTGTATATATAACAGTTTAGGGTTTTAAAGGGTATGTTTTGTTAACGTTCCGTTCTGCGCTTAATCTTGATTGTCAAACCATTGTTGTGCGTCGAACTTGTAATTACACCTCGGGCAAGGTCATTAAGTGGTGTTGTACCTTACACGGAGTATGCCAAACTAATGAAATGTTCTAATGAAATTAATTGTAAAAATTTACATGCTCAACAATGAATGGATTATAATTAAGATTAACGTGCAAAAATTAAAATAATTGAATGTATGCAACAAATAAAATTTGCGTATTTTTACAATGCTTGGTATTTTCAACTATATTATGAAATACTTGGATTAATTCACAACAGGGAAATTCAGAACATTTCTGATTTTATATTTTGTGAAAAAAAATTCGTAAATTGAGTAGGTCTAGTCGGTATTCACATCATGTCGTAAAAGAGACAACTGTATTAGACACCGCTTCCCAATCTGGTGATTAAAATATGATAATTATCATTACGACCTCTCACCTTTCATCTTTCGACTAGTAATCAATCGAAAAAAACTATGGCCTTAGCCGAACTCGGTATCATGTCGTATGATGAGTAAATATTTATAGAATGACCATTATATTAAACCTCGATCACTGACAAGCACGCTCGCAAAAAAATAGAATTTTTAATCACGAATATTCGACGCTGAAACACAAATTTAAATGTGACATCATTTTGTGGGTTAACATGATTGCTAGAGATACCTTTTCCGAATTGTCATTTAACAACGACACACAATCGTGGAGGCTATAAATTCATTGAAGAATTCGAACAATTCACGAGTTTGGGAAAACCTTTTTCGAGAAACACAGAATTTCAATTCCAAAATGATTAGCATTCTTTACATTTGCCAATTCCGTAACAGCGCCATGTCGAACATTGCATCATCAAAATTCCGAAAATCTATCCCTGGACTCGTTTAAATATATATATCCATAGAAATTCATTTGACAATTGTGTTATTCAAACATTCACAGACTGCAAATCATGAAATGGTGAGTTTAAAGGGCAGTAAAAACCAATTTTTGGACACGAAATGAACCCCTAGATCAGGGCTTCCCAAACTTTTGAGCTCGCGGCCCCTTTTGATATATTAAAATTTTTCGCGGCCCTTGTTCACGCTAATAATGCTAAAAAGTTCAAAATATGCTTTTTTGATATTTTATTGACACAGCCAATTCTTAACTTTTAATAGGGCTACTCAATAACAAAAACATCTGTACTCAGATTATTCAATGTAATGGGTGCAAATCTTTCTTTCTTAACTCTGCCTAGTTTTTCTTTAAAATGCTCGAAACTCACTCATGTTCGATGAGATTCTCATGTTCTGAAAATTCGTTTTTCTGTAGATAAAGATTATTTTTACTTGGTTCAAAAAGCGTTGCGCACCACATCTCCTTTGCGATTTCGTATTTATATTAGGCAGGCTTTTCTACCATGAATTTGGTTCCATTGAATTTGATTTCACTGACTGTTGTTAGATTTTGTTCGTTCGTTTATATAAAACTCAATGCAAAAAAGGTATTATATTGAAATGTATCAATACGTACGGTATTTTTCATGGGAAGTCGCAACTTGAGCATATTTCTGGAGGTCGTCACAATACAATTAAGTTCGAAAACTACTGAGCCCTATAGTTGAAAGAAATCCACTTTTTAAATTGTTAATAACCTATATGTAGCCGCTATTTTTAATGGAAACGTGCTATTAAATTTGTATCATATTTTGATATTCATATTTCGTATATTAATCTCGTTATTCTCTACATCCCCCTAAAATGAGCTCCAGTGTTCAAAAGAAAATTGATGACAATGTCTTATTTTCGGGAAAACACGGTGTGATGATGTATATTCACTCGGAATCGTGAATTTATCATTTTACACTATTTTTAATGTTTGTATTTCAAATTAAGAGTCTGAAAAAGTGCAATAGATATAGTACTTTGTGTAAAATAGGTGTTCTCTTCGCGGCCCCTAGAATTCGTTTCGCGGCCCCTAGTTTGGGAAGCCCTGTCCTAGATCGTTTTTTATTAAGTTTTTGTTGTTGTTCTTGTTTGTATTTTCTTTGGTATGAAAAAACTACCTCTCTCTCAAACTGCCGGACCAATGTCTTTGGAATTTTTAGTGGTGGAGTGTATGAGATTCGTTATTTGTGTGCAATGGCGGCACAAAAATTAAATTTGCACACGATGCGGCGGTTTCGCTCTCGCGTCAGGCGAAGTCGCAGTAAGTTCCGTTACAAAATTCTTCTCATCGATTTGTTTAACGTTAGTATGGTCTGAGCGTTGACGTAATTGAAACATGACGTCATAATAGCCTTTTAAAGTTCTGAACATGGTCCAGCAACAATCGACACACTGACTCTGTCACATTTTCAACAGTCGGATGTGTTTGAGGTTTCGAGTCGCGTGTTTTTGTATTGCGATTTGCAGGGGCGCCCGATAATACTTCATATTATATATGGTTCATGGACCTATTTTTACCTTGCGGTATTAAATAAAAATGAGCACATATTGTATTGTGCGTTTACAGATTGTGAATGACATTTTCAGGACTGAAAACTTTGATACGACCTGTGCGACGTTTAAAGTGAACATTTGGAGATCAATCCCAGGGTGTAATGTTAAGGTAATTCAATTCAAATCATCGCTTCATGTTCCCATCAAATAGAAACTCAAAAAAAATCCGATTAGTTTTAATTGGAATGAAAAAAATAAGATGCAGTTTAAAACGTCAGCCACGTTTGTTATAATCATTTTGTCAACTAAATGATAGTGATTAAATTGTCATGATACATGGGGCGTAATTACAAAACATTCTAACAGGTTCAATTGGAAATAAAGCTGGGGAACCTTGCGTGTAAATCTCCAAAGTGGCGCTTAGAGGAATAATTGTACAGTTTACCAAAACATGGGCCACGTGACTGTACAAATCAAGTTTTCCAAATATAAAACATGTAAAATTATACAGAAATTAGAAGACCTTTAAAAAGTAATGTTATCAAATCTGATATGCAGAATTCGACTGCATAAAAATAGTGCAAATAAGTTGGATTACGTGATCGAATTCTATATCACGAGGATCAAAGTCGTATCATACGTGACCAATAGATAGAGTTGAAAAACGAAAATAAAAAAGATTTTTATCAAAACCCCTCCACACGCGAGTGTTTGAGTGCGATGTCTCGGTTTTACCGCATTGTAATAATAATTAAATAACGGAAAACCTTTATTGTTCACATTTCTATTTCAATGGAGCTCTCCAACGTGAAAATGGATTTGCATATAATTTATACTGAGAAAATTTTACGTTTTATTTCACATTTTTGCCAATGACGTTCATCAGCGAAATAAAATTGTTTGAAAATACTCTATTTGTTAATTTACTGGATATATATTTTTATAACCTACAGTAGTAATTTAAGGCAAATTAAATTTTTATTTCTTTTATTCTAAATACAGATTTCTTTTTTCGCCCCACCTATTTCCCCGTGAGTGGACAGATACGGTTTTTCAAGGGAATTCAATTGAAATATATGAGTTTGATATCTTCCTTGAAACGTGTGGCCCAAAGGCAGATAGCAACAACCTAAACCAGGTTCAAGTCGTCGTACATTAGTGCCAGGTAAAGCCACGACTGTAACTTCTCGGTCATAGCTTTACTTTATGACATTATAAATAAAATGCAGAAATTAAAATTACATGAAAAAACAATATCTTGAAAAATTTAATTTTAAATTCATTCTATAGAATGGTAAACTAAGTTTTACTTTTTCTTAAAACACCTAAAACATAATGGCGCAGTGCTTTAGAGGTAGTTTGACGGGGTAGTCAGTCTTGTTCATTACATGAAAAAGTGATGAACACATAGCATGAACCAAATATACTAAAGTTCGAAGATTGCAAAGTTTGGTCCACCAACCTAGTTTTGTAGGCACAAGATCAGTGCATCCAGTGCTATTCTAGTTTTGTTATAATTATGTACGACCCATTCGTGAAAATCATGAGCAGCAACTATTTCGAAGTAAAATATCAGAGTTAGTTTTCTCAAGTTACAAGATACATTCATTATGTGTTCTAATACAACAGCGCACTAATTATTGTTTAACTTTAAGGTAATGCAACTCCGTATCGGGAACCGGATTATTTTTTCGCTTATCCATTCTTGAGACCGCGTTCTGTTTATTGTTAAGTCATATTATTAGTTGATTTTAAATGCCGGGGGCACAGTGCGATTTTAATAATTGCTATTCATGAGAAAATCAGCAGTATCCAGTAGTATTTTATAGTTATAGTTATTTTGGCCAACAAATCGTTAGTCTATAAATTTGCACGGAAATAATGAGTTCAATTTTTTTCGTTGAAATGGAGTTGAGAAAAAAGAGATGAAAAAAAAGAAAGTTAATCGATAGAGATCGTGAAAATATTACGTATCATGAACGGACTCTTGTTATATAATGCCACGATGTTCTCGTAATTCTGCATTCTGTTGTTAGTCGCTGGTCTTGACCAGCCGATTTCGGCAAGATGAAGTTAGCACTTGCATTTCTTGTCGCATATTCTGTTGTAACAGTTGAGTCAGCATATAACGCATTTGAATTATCGGATTCATTAATTCCCAATGGTGATAATGATGAATTTAATGATTTATTAGCAGACTACGATAAGGACAAAAACAAGGACAAAGATAAAAACAAGGATAAAGACAAAAACAAAGACAAGGACAAAAATAAAGACAAGGACAAAAACAAAGACAAGGACAAAAACAAAGACAAGGACAAGAACAAGGACAAGGACAAAAATAAAGACAAGGACAAGAACAAAGACAAGGACAAGAACAAGGACAAAGACAAAAATAAAGACAAGGACAAGAACAAAGACAAGGACAAAAACAAAGACAAGGACAAAAACAAAGACAAGGACAAGAACAAGGACAAGGACAAAAATAAAGACAAGGACAAGAACAAAGACAAGGACAAAAACAAAGACAAGGACAAGAACAAGGACAAAGACAAAAACAAGGATAAAGACAAAAACAAGGACAAAGACAAGAACAAAGACAAGGACAAAAACAAAGACAAGGACAAGAACAAGGACAAAGACAAAAACAAGGACAAAGACAAGAATAAAGACAAGGACAAGAACAAAGATAAAGACAAAAATAAAGACAAAAACAAAGGCGATTCTGGTCCTTCCGGGAGCAAAGGCAACCCTGGAGATGATGGTCCCCCAGGAAGCAAGGGCGATCCTGGAGATCCTGGAAGCAAGGGCGATACTGGAAGCAAGGGCGATCCTGGAGATACTGTAAGCAAGGGGGATCCTGGAGATCCTGGAAGCAAGGGCGATACTGGAGATACTGGAAGCAAGGGCGATACTGGAGGAGATGGTCCTCCCGGAAGCAAGGGCGATACTGGAGGAGATGGTCCTCCCGGAAGCAAGGGCGATACTGGAGATAATGGTCCTCCCGGAGACAAAGGCGACCAGGGAGATAAAGGAGAACCTGGTAACCCGGGAGGAGTGAAAGGCGACAAGGGAGATTCAGGAAGTAAAGGAGACTCAGGCTCCCCAGGAAGTGACGGTAATGATGGCTCGTCAGGAGGACCTGGGCCTAAAGGAGATACAGGAAATCCAGGTCCACCGGGAGTTCCCGGAATTCCGGGAAAGGATGGAGAACCTGGAGGTAAAGGATCTAGTAGCGGCAAAAAAAACAAGCTTTTACAGACATTGGCACTTTTCTCTATATTAGGAAAACGACCGAGCAATAGAAATGTTGGAGGTCGAAGACCACCTCCTAATCGAGCGGTTCACAGTCATGGCGGCTTACCACCACATAGCCACGGGCCAGGAAACACAATGTCTGGAAATGCTGGATACCATGTGCACTCTCCTCCAAATTCTGGCACGACAACATACACACGGCCTCAAATAAACCAACACAATCATGGACAGGGCGGAGATGTAAGAAATCCTATTGGCTATGTCAAACCTCACATGCACACAAGTAATGGAGCTATTATTGGAGACGTTCCAGCACATTCTCACCGACAGTCTCCGGCCGGTATAGGTTTGCATTCCCACGGTCCGAACGGATATGTTGAACCTCAAAATAGTGCAACCAACCATTGGCACGATCCCGTTAGTGGTCTTCCCGATCGATCTTACGGTGTCCAGCCTCACACTCACACTCAAACAAGAAGACCTCAGCTGCAATTAGAAACACACCAGCACGCACCAGATGGACGTGTGATTGGAAATCAAATCCCTCATTTTCATTTCTCTCCAGGTGGCAGAGTCTCTTCCGGAAACGTCCCGGATCATACCCATACCCAAACAAGCAATATCCCTCCTCGGCAAAGACCAGTTGGATCCCACGTTCACAATTCTCAAGGAAATGCAATTGGAAATGAGTCACCACATACACATGGAGTTTCTGGGGATATCAGTAGCGGATATAACGTTCCTCCTCACACTCATCAAAGGCAAGTAGCGTCTAACGGCATACATACCCATGGAACAGACGGTAGAGTTTTCGGGAATTCTGGTGTTTCTCAGCATATCCATAACAATGACGGGAGTATAACATCACTATCGTCAGGACAAATAAATTATCACACCCACAATTCAGTTGTTCGAACGATTGTGGAGCAACATGCACACATTGGCGGCCAGGCAACAAATGGCGTCGAAAGTCATAATCACAATGCAGATGGTAGTGTGGTGGAACCACACGTAGCCCAACACAGGCATGTACACGGTTCGAGTGGAACGGCATACAGTGATGGTCAATCGGGGACTGTTGGAGGTCATATGCACATTTCGGGTGGAACAACATACAGTGGTAGTCAATCGGGGACTGTTGGAGGTCATATGTTCAGTTCGAGTGTAACGACATACAATGGTGGTCAATACGGATCTTCTCCCGGAACAACCCATTCCGGGAGTCACGCGTATAATCACGGAGGAAGTTCACACTACGGAAATAGCTGCCAAAAACACGTTTCGGTGGTAGATTAAATTTCTAACGCTTAAACTAATTTTAATCGATTACACTTCGTTTTTTCTTATATATGAATAGCAAACACGACACCAATACCATACAATACCAAAATTTGAACGTACAAACACACATTTAAAGTGGAATACTTTATCAATATCTACTGACTTCTACACAAAATATAGATCGATATCTAAAAATTTGTAAAATGGAATCACTTGAACAATCGTTACTTCCTCAATATTAAAAAGGCAATCAAAAATTTTGCTTGTATTAAACCGAAAATATTTAAAGTGATAACGTAATCATTTTCTTCATATTATCTTTTTTATTCAGCTTGGGCTTCAAGAATGCAAGAACTGATCCAAAGTAAGTCTCATTTTGTATAAAGTCTCATTTTTTGGGTGGTGCTTTTGGAACTCTTATTTCAAAAAACAGTTGGATAGAAGCATAATTATATAATTATAACAATATACTTAACAATTGATAACTTTGAAGTTTAAAAAACACTTCGTGCTATTTATCTACAATAGTATTCACAAAAAATGTTTTATCAAATCAAAACCACTTTCCCAACAGTTCTGCGCATTTATTACGCAAATGTCTGTCGTCTCTGCCATACGGTCAAATTGAAGATCTATGCAAAACCAAAACGGACATTTGTCAAGTGACCATAAGTGTTGGATCGAACACTCAACACAGCAACGTGAAACTCTCTCATCCTATTTATCTTAGAGGAGAGCAATGCGAGTAAGTACCTAAAGTATATAGAAAAAATAATTGTACTGTAATATATTTTGTAACTGGTCCATTTTTCTGTCCTATTTTATCCCGTAACTTTCTTTACGGTAGCAATGAAAAATACTCGTTTATAATATATTTGCTTTGGCGCATTCTGCTAGCCTAGTCACTATACCGATTAGAAAAAATGGATTTTAGAATAATCTGTTTTAGAACGAACAAGTTAGATTAGTGCGGCGCTAAATCAAGCATAGGTAAAGAGCATAAGTTACAATATCGCCGTGATCCATCTGACGAATCTTTGTAGCATAATTGTTTGATTACAACAAAAATATAGAAAGTTTCCAGCATTACTGTGTCATTTTGTAGTGGTGGAGTAGTTGACGCAATGCTAAATTAGAGGCCAGGAGGTAAGCTTTCTATTATGATAGTTTTGCTTTCAAACAACACAAATGGTTGATACATATACACATGCTATAATGAATACAAATTCGTTTTCAGAGGCCGCGACGGACATCCTTGTGGGACGACTGCAGGAAGCTACTTCGATCCTTCTTACGCTTCTTCATGTAGATGTCGCACGAAGATTTGTGAATCAGTTGTAGATACGTGTTACGTCTATGATGGAAAATTATATTCATCAAAAGCTAGAGTTAAAGTAAGTGTATTATTGTTACCCATTGTGTGATAATAATGTGCTTTCAATGTTTGTGTTTTTCACAATAAATGCATAATTCGTATAATATAGAGAAGTCGTAATAGCGCAGATTGTGCAGGGCCGTCGACTCACCCGGGCAGTAATAAATTGATGACGATGTCGTAATAAATAACGATTTTTTTATTGTTACTCATAATTATTTATTCTTAGATTGTAATCGTCAACTTTATGACGTCACTTATGTAATCGCCTTGTGAAAACTTTAATTTTTTTTTTACAGCGCCCGTGTGGTTGTGAATGTTATCAGGAATACACACATGTCCAGACGAAGACCCCGACAAAATAGTCAACCTGTAGGAGAGACATGAAAAGTTTTGACGTTCTACTGAAATAGACTAACATTGTGGATTGTTCGATTATTTCAAAACATAGTAAATCTGAGAGGGAATTTAAAACTATAATATATATGTTCTGCTCTATGACTGATTTCAATTCGTAAGCATGAATTGTAAAAGTGGATTTCAGCAAGAATGCTTTCCCGCTTGGCACATGTTTAATGCGGTACATTATTTAGCTTAAATTATATTAAAATAAAGTTGGCACATACTTGACTGAGAAGGAATGGACTCTAAGGTTTACTGTGTTATTTTTTTCATATAGCGCTTTTATGTGGTGAATGTTATTAAAACTGGTTCTAGATTTTATTAATTAATATTCTGTTTATGACGTCACTAAATTGCGACATTTAAAGTCTTTTGGCCAGGTCAGAAAACTTACATTCGATAAATGAATAAAAAATGTAACAGAAAATTTTATATTGGTGTTATGTGTTTAAATTTTTTGGTCGTGGATGATAAATCATCAAATTATTCGTTAAAATTTTCTAAACAATAGCGAATTTGTGAAGAATATATGTAATAGTGTTAAAAGGCCTTACTTACTTGAATAAAGTTCGTTCTCTTCGTCAAGTCCAGAAAATGTTGCGTTTTAGGAGATAAGTAGGTAGATAGAATACGACGTTCGAGCGTACCAGATCACGTCACGTTAGCGCAGGGGTTCCCAACCTTTTTATCTTAATTTCCCACTTCCGATTTAGGCTGAGTTATTATTTCCCACTAAATATTGACTCCTTTAAAAAGAATAAGTTTTTCATCAATATTAATGGGTAAGACTTCCAGTAATAAAAGCTTGCACAATTGGTGTAAAAGTTAAAACCCCGATGAAACATTCATTTCGCCCTCTAGCATCCAAAGATAGTGACGATCCGTGTAAAAAAGTGTTATTCACCGAATAGAACAATTCAACACATACGATTACAAAGGACGCATCAAAGTTTACACTGTGCCGTCAATATCAGTTTTGCTTTTTTTATATGATAGACCGGATGTCTGAATCTATTTTGAAATTGCGCATAGCTATTGGACAAGGAGACCCGTTCATCTTTGACGTCGCTGACTCACTCAGCAAAATATCAGAACACTCCACCAGACAAAGTTTCATCAATGTCTCACCGATGTTATGGGACTTTTTAGTCCTTGCTATTCCTAGGACAACTGCATAAGACGCAGTCACTTTAAACTTGTCTGAATTGCCCCATGTTGTCGAATATCATATTGCTTTTATTTTTCGTTTTTTTTTGCAAACTGATAAAGAAATGGACATTGGAAATATGTTGCTTCATTTGATGGGGCTTCATAGAACCATTGGAGATGGTCTTAGTGCAAACAACGCATTGCGTCAATTGCTCGAAATTTTTCTTCAAAAACGTGAATAGTAGCCGAGATAAATATGATCGTACTTTATTTAGACATTAGCTATTATCTTTAATAAAAGTTGACCACAATGACGGGATGGACCAGACATTTGTTCATCAGAGCGTATGCCTACCCAATATCTCCGAGACATTTGAAAATAGACTGTGCCCCTTAGCGGCTCTTCAACGAAAATCTTTTTGCGTAACAATCAGAGCCTTGGTACTCGTTCGAGACATATCTGTGAGGTTGTTATCGGTCGACCAAAGATCAAAATTAGTTACATGAGCACGATCAGAATAACATGGCCAACACCGTGATAGTTTACCAAAGTTTCAATTAATTGAATGGGAATCTTTTTCCGCTTCATGGCTTATATTGTGATTTTCATTGTGTAATATATAATAATTGTGTTATTGTGCGTATATTTTTAGAGGAGCATTCTATTTCCCACCAGGAACCCCAAATTTCCCACTAGTGGGAAATTTCCCACCGGTTGGGAACCACTGTGTTAGCGTATATTGTTCATGGTTTTAATGGGGGATGTTTAGATTCGTTTTTAGTTATCAAGTCAAGATCTATCGGATTCCCTGACAGCCCTTGCTTGAATTGTTTTGAATCCCGTGTCAACTAAATATGTGAGATTCGGACCAATGACTCTATTCTAAATTCTACCGTTTCGCGGACAGCCGGGATTTTACTACTTTCAATTTTAGACCGCTGCGACAAACTTTCCATTATGGTTAGATGTATAATAAAGGTGAACAAAATGATACATCAAGTTTTAATAGGTTCTTTTTGTATACGTCGAAACGGGAGGATGGGTTAAAGGAGTGCTGTTATCTTTTCAAAGAATCCGGCTGTGCTTGTTGGTATACTTCGCCGTTTATTATTATGTTTAATCACCAGTTCCGCGAATTGATTACGAACGTCGGTATCGCAAGGCGATACTTTTAAGTAAAAGCGACGTTTAAGTAAAAAAGTACTTGTTTGTGTTTCGCTTATTGTAAGATAAAGTTATTATGCGTTCACTGTCTCAAAACAATGAGTATACGTCTGAATGATTCGTGGCTTGTCCGCATTTATATATTTCTGTACAGTATATTCATATTGATTTTTATGTTATTGCTCAATTTCTCCGCCAAGGAAACATACATTGTAGCAGAAAACCTATTTCGCAAATTTCAGAATTTGCTTAATATAACCCCTTCAAAATGATAAAATTCAACACTTCGTCAATTTCTTGCACATTAGCGGCAAATTGGGATAAATATTTTCCAGCATAAATATATAAAATAATACGTAGTTCTGGCAAATTTTCTCTGCTTTCTCCGAATATTTCATTTCTTGCATGTGCAAATTAATTCATTATCAGCAAGGTGTAATTAAGCCGGACGTAATATAAATACGGCGGTGCTTGGTGCCGCCAGCCGTAAACAATAAATAATGAGCGATTATAAATGTCAGTTGATGAACATACGTGACGTCATAATACTTTATTCGCAGAAAAAAGGCGAGAGAAATGCCTGCACCTATTACCTATATGGAATACCATACAAAAATTTTAGTTTCGGGCGAACAGTATTTATACTCGGTTATGCTATAGGAACAAATCGAGGGAGCACCAACCCATCTGTTTCTATGCAAGAACATAAAAATAATTTGTATAGTTAACTTCGGATCCTATTTATCTAAGACGTAGCTGCACAACGTACGGCCCGCGAAAGTTTTTTATGCGGCACGCCATGTAATTTTAAAACATTCATTCACGCGTACAGAAATGCATGCGATAGGTGACAAAGAACGATAACAAGTTAATTCTCGATAAATTTATCTCATTTTTCAAATTACTAATCCAAAATAACATGTATGTATGTACGATGTATGTATGTATTTGATATTAAAATTGTTACTTATCGATCTTGATCGGTAAGTGTGTTGATAGGTATCTGTTTGTTTGTTTGTTTGTCTGTTAGATACACGCGATCTCACGAAAGCGAGGTTGAATCAGCTCAAAATTTTGCATGTGCATCCATCATATCAGAAGCCCATTGATTTTGGATGAATTATGTCGTATAATTAGCGAGTTATCAATTAATTCGTGCTGGGACACACGGTTTCGCTATGAAGTAAGAGCGAATAAATCGAATCCGCAGTTTCTGTTTTGGGGATTCCCTAACTTTCGATCGATAAGTCTTCGGTCTCCGACCGATATTCTCGTTTGTTACATTATGATATCTCGTCCATTAGAGAGTAATAGTAACGTTAGGTCCCAGATTTTTTCAACAAAACCGCAACGACCGAAAAAGGATTGAGCACGGGTTAATGAATATTACCTACTTGTAGCCGAAAATTCTTGCGTGCCACGAAGTGGCGCCAGTTTCACTTCACAATAAGCAAAGTTTAAAAACCTACTGGTATTAAAAAAGCAATTTTCCAACTCGGTGGGAAGGACTTATATGTAGGCAAGCAAAACTTTTCTGAACTGTGGTCTCTGAACTTGTGAATTTGGTGATTCTGCCCAATTATAAGGAGCTTGTCACCTGCAAAAGAGTCGCCATTTCTCATTAAAAGCTGGCTGTGTCGAATTGATCATGAAGAAGTATGTGAACAAAGATGGCGCACATCCTGAACATAGTATGTGTACCAGGTTAGGATTCAGGTTGTGCGCCATCTTGTTGCACATACTTTTTTCGAAATATCAGAATCTGGAAATCGGAAAGATAGAATTTGATTTATCCGTTAAAAATTATGACTTCATACCCAAAACTCAATACTGAAGTTCAGTTATTGATTCTAGAAGCTTTCTAATTAAACGTATAACATTACGACAGCTGTCAAACCGTAGTAGTATATATTTACGGTCAAACTACAAATGCAGTAGTTGAATTTACCGTTTTACAAATACTGTTAAATGTCCGGTTGATTTGAATGTCGCAAATCAGTACCGGTGTTTCATGAGTGCAAGCAATACAGAATAAAAAAAACTGTTCCAATCAATTTAAAACTGCAAAATTTTTGATGAACAATCAGTTCCCGCAAGGCCAAAGGAAAATTTAAAAAAAATTAAGCAATAGGTTTCTAGCGACTTCTTCCGTCTGCAACAAAAATAACCACAACGAGAATTTAACAAAACGATGCATATGAACATTTCTTGTTCAATAATCGAAATTATATATGTAAAGTAATTGAAAATGATATTATCACAAAAATTATGGGAAAGTTATTTTTTAGTATAGATATTCCTAATTCAGGTATGTCAACTTATTCAAATACAAAATAAAGTTATCCTATAAAAGGCCGAGTATAGTAATTTTATTTTGAGGATGTGGTCGCGCAACCGACATAAGCACTCTTAAGAATTGTTATAGGAATATATTGTTCATTCGGTATTCCCCTACGTTCCGATAGATTAAGGATAAGAAATGGTTTATACTCTATACACTTAAATCCCTTTGTGTAGGTGGTGAAATTGTCAGCAAAAACAAAGAAACATTGTTGACAATGGAAAGGCTTTAATAGATTGAAGACAATGTTTGTATAGAGACGAGGGTCTGTCTCGCGCAAAGACTTTATTATGTCAGATGGAGGTCTTCGACTGCAAGGGAAAATAGCATTTATAAATGATATATCTTGCTAAAAGCAATCTCATAAATTTCTAAATTGAAAGAGCGTATAACCAACGAGAGCGTGATCAACTTATATGTTTATTTAGAAGTAAGTAACCTAGCTTGAACCATTTATGTTTCCTTTCAGACGTGAAAAATAATTTAAATTAGCTTCCGTGTTTAATCCAAGAAAAGAATAAAAACTAATGCGTTGAAGCTGAAAAAAAGATTATAGCAAGTCGAGGAACATATATCTGGTCGAAATATATTTCTATTGTATTTCTTTTTATCAAAGTATTGAATAGCGGAATAGGTAGATCCAGGCTTTGAGCAAAAAGGATTCCATACACGAAAACAATTTGAACGATATGGGATGTGGTTCAAGCAAAGGAACGGTTTCCGTTTCGAAATCGCAGCCATACGCAGTAAGTTAAAATATATATTCGACCTAAAGTCAATTTGAAATTTAAAGAAAATTTCAAGCCTATATAGTGTGCATATATTGATTTCTTAGACTGATTTTGTAGAGCAGATTTTTAAATGTTATTTTAAGCGAAATTACTTCATATGAATTGACCTGCTTCTAACTGACCAATATGATATTTGAGGTGATTGCATCTAAGCGTAGTACAGCAAAACTCACTTATTGAAAATTCGAATTGAGTTTCGTCATAAATTACTGAAAAATTGTTAATTTGAAGATTTTATTTATATTAAAAAATATTATTATTCATGATATTTAGACCAATAATTCATCATTACCTCCATACAATGGAATATCAACGACTTCACATCATAAGACAAACTTGTCATCCAAGGTAACGAAAAATAGTATTTCAAAATTAGTCGATTTGCAAAATTCAAACATGTACGATATCAGTGCATATTTAGGGATCGCATTGTATTATAACTCAATTTTATGATGTCAGATGTATTCTGATGGAAGTGAATTGCCCCCACCCAGACCTCCCGACCAAACTGTAGAAGAGTTGTTGAAGGACAAAAAAGATTTGATGAAGAAAATGGACCAGCATGCAACACAGGTAGGGAATAAAATTAAATATATTCAATGATTCTATGTTTGGAATTTGATTGCATGCACTCTGCACAATTTTTGTTTCATATTGTGTATATTGGAAAATAAATGGAACGTCCGGGTCCGTAAGATGCTTAAACTGAAAAATCGCAAAGTTTAAATGTGTGTGATAAACAGATGAACATCATCTTTATTTGATGAATTGCCAGAAGAAAATCAGTAAACACTAAAAAATTGTCGCTACTGACTTTATAACACCATAAAAATCTTCCTTTTATACGTTAACTTGAGTTTTGCTCCTCCGAATGAATACTGGACTGATACTTTTTACTTATGGCAGTTTTAACTTTACTCTGTTATTTTTCCAGGTTTCGTTTGATAAGGCAGTCAAACAAGGTCTAAATGAGTTCACAGACGAGACATTGATACCGAAAGATACGATTACAGAACATGAAACACTGGATGTCGTTGAAAATAACAATCAAGTTTGAGTTTAAATTTATTTTTTGCGGGGGGTAATTATGTGCGAGAGGATTTCTGGACTCATTCTGGACGCCATCGTAGATTCGTTCATGTAATTGTAACACTTGGCGGTTGCGGCTTCCTCTCACCACGCTCATCGGCGTTGCGTTTCACAACTTGGCTATCAAGAGTTCTATATTATACTGTATATGGAAGTTCCTAATGATTGCTTGAGGTTCGAGTTATTGGTATGGTAGAATTTTATTGGAAATGGCGATTTGATTTGATTTTAAGTAATTTAATGAACATATTAATACGCCTTACATATACAAAATGTTATCATTTTGTTTTGCATGTTTGAAATATGTAAAGTGCTAACCTATATCACCTCTTTGCCGTTCAGCGTTTCTATGGCAATAATCTATAATATGTATGTGTGTCAGGAGGATGATAATTGAATGAAATTTTTCACACGTCATCAAACTAAACTAACGTATAAAACCATATCACGTACGTCCTTTGAGGAGACGATAACAGTATTTGTTATTCCGGTTAGCAAACCTTTGAAATCGATAAAAATATTCACTCGAACTACATCTGGTCCATGGCCAGTCCCAACCTCTTCTTACCTCTAATATCAATATTCGCTCTGCGGATGAAATCATTCGAATGGCAATTGGAAACATACATCCCTATTTCAATTGATGGAATTGCGGAACTGCAATGTGAATAAATTTCAAAATAAACAGTTTCCTTATTTTTTTTTTTACAGAGTAGCCAATTAGAAATCGACGCAATAATTGCCACGACGTCGATTGAAGACGATCAATCTGATGATGTCATAATGCAACCACCGGAAAGCACATTTGATCCCAGTAAGATTTCTTCGAAATAAGCTTCTTTTCATTTTGCGCACCTAGGAGAAAAGGAGCAAGTTACATAAGTATCTTCCTTTATGCATGCTCATCGTTACAACATGGTAGCCAAGGTAACTTGGATGTCATTATTTCACAATGATTCAAAATTGCGAAAATATTTGATTGCATGTGAGGTCAGACGATAAAATTACTTTCAAACTGTAGTGAGTTTGCCATTTGTTTCTACTTGTACTTGGAACTGGCGCAAAGTACAAATATAATCAAACCAAGAGACGTAGCTCGTTTGTAGAATGTTTATTGAACGCTGTAAGATATACATAAAACGATTAATAATTATGTGCCTTACCTTGTCCTGTCTAGACAAGTACGGTACTTATGTTGGACATTGATACGTTTTTCTAATTCATCGTTTAAAGACTCAATATTTACGCACTGTTGAATGATATTGTATTTAGGAGTTATTGATATTTCAACTTTAAAGAAGTGCGTAAAGCGTGAAGCTTCAAAATTCAAACTTAGACAAAAATATTGTCATCAATTTTAAGTCTCTTTAAAAATTTAATGGGGTATCCTGTGATTGTAATCAATACTATGATTCTAAAATGGGTTTAAATGTTTTAAACAATGAAATCCCCATTTTCATGGAAAAGGTAGCGTTTGTAGCCTCTGCCTGCACTACATTCACAGTAATAATTAGTCCGTGTAACTTATATATTAACAGCAGACAAGGAGGCTACGTCGTTAAACCTACCGAATCTTGTTCTATATAATCACATTGTTGTTTTGAGAAAACTTTGTACTTGAAACAAAAAACAAATACGCTGCTATGTATTAAATTAATGAGTTTTATTTTATCCAGCATCATTGGGAAATGAAAAAGATAATGCTGACGCGGCGGAACTTTTGCTGGAAAAATACAAGCGAGATACAGAAAAGTATGTCTTTTATTTATAATTTAATGGCATGCAATGCTTTACAAACAGTGTTAGCGCGTTCCTGTTCCACAAGTTTGGTTTTTCTCAGCTTTCCTGAAGATTCACTGCAAAGCGGAATCTATACCCAATACATTTTGATGAAAAACATAAGTTCGCGACAAATTTTAGACCGATTGTATGCAAATGCCAGTGGTTCTTTACAAAAGATATATATATGATGTTACTTGATGATAGTTTCCCCCTATAGACTCTTGTTTTTGCAATGTCTTCATTTAACAAATTCAACCATTCAAGAAGATAACAAATTCAACTCTTCGCTTGGTAATCGCTGAAACACCATCTAGGCGTTACATACAGGCGTTTTGCAAACAATTCTGCCAGCAATAAATCAATTTTTAGCCTAATAACAATGAAACTGTTTGAATATCAAAATTACCAATTTCAATTCTATACAGTATTTTTAAATTATTATTTTTTTGCTGACTGCAAGATTCGAGGTGAAATAGGTAGTTTTAAGTTCCCGTTTCCTTACATTTCACAATATAATTATCTTCGATCGCCCAAGATTTCACCAATAATTTTTGCATATCTCACATTTATAAGTCTGATCCAATGTCTTTTCTTCGTAAGGGCCAAAAACTTGATGATGGTTGATAAAATGAGACACAATATTACACTTCAAGACAAATTAGCCAAGAGGAAAGAAATGAAAAGAAGAGCACAGGAAGCAGCAGCGGTGTCTCATAAAGGTGAATTGAGCAACGAAGGCGCACGAGTGCAGAGACAACTTTCCGGAGAAATGGGAGATAAGAAAATGGTAATGATACGAAGTTTACTTAAATTAATTCTAAGACATAATTTGGAAGTTAGTCGTCAGACTATTACCTACCTTGATAATCTCTATAAAAGAAGAATATAGCCTTCAAATGTCGCAATTTTAACACAACGTTCTTAAAATATACTTACTAGTCTTTTAACTTTGCCAAAATACAGATTGAGAACACTGACTTCAATCAACAGCAAACAATAAATCAACCGTTAGATTCGTTGGTGAATGTTGCTAACAATACTGAAGACGGAGAAGTGGAAGCGGCACAAGACAAATACGATGCTGTAATGGCCGAAGCTGCACCTATGCCAACAGCACCGGAGACAAGAAAAGAAGCTATATACGGGTAAGCAGGAATTGCATTTTCATGGATTCCTTTAGCATTCCTAAAAATAGTATATGGAATATTCGGAATAGGTTTATGACAACGTTAAAAGCCACCCTTTACGCGGAGGAACTGGTGATAAAGTTGGCTTCACTTTACCCCAGGAAAATATGGTATAAATACTTTTTAAGTTGATATGGGACTCATAACAGGAGTTGTCGCCCTATCGCAACTTCTTTTGACATAAATGTAAAATACTATTCTATAATGAACTTTTCTTATTTAACTAAAGAGATGAAGACAATATAGAACTGTTTAAAGATTTGGAAGATTTTGCAATCAACATGGAGCAAATATCTTCACCTGCAACAACATTTGCAATCTTAATGAACTCTTTGCTCATAAATCAATTGTCCGACTTGGAAAAGGTATTTACAAATAAATATCAATTGATAACACGATCACCGACAACATATTTTCTACAATGTTACAAGTAAAATCAGGTAGGGAAGGCCTTACTAATTTGAACAACATCCAAGTTACCCACTTACACTTAACTTATACTTTCGCACCCGACTATGATTTTTGCACTATGATTCTTTGTTATATTATAAAATTTTGTGCGATGTAAGAAACAAATTTATTGGGGCGCAATAGGAACGTTTGGTTTCAGCATTTCATAAAATAGCAACGGCCAAAAAAGCAAACAGATAAATAAATAAAACACACAATTAAATGAATATTTATGAGAAGCTTGTCGTCAGCAGAAGGTAAAAAAAATATCCCATTAAAGGCTGGTTGTGTAGAATTGATCATGTGTTACACTGTTTATACGCTATATCAGAAAAATACGACATGATATATGTTATACCATGATAAATAAGGCTTAAATAAGGAATATGATTGATGTGTACCTCCGGAGCACCGCACACTTGCACTTTGTTCTAGGCTAGGGTGCAGTTATAGTAAGTTTTCGCACAATTGTATTCCAATGTTGGCACCTGATTGGAAATATGTATTCCTGATTACATGCGCATGGCATACATTTGAATCGAAATGTTAATTTGTAATCTGACTTAATACGGCCAAATTCTTAATAAGAGTTTCTAGTTTTCTAGTGCATGTTATGTTGTTGCTATTGTCAAGTCTATTTGCCTTGGCGTCTCTAGCTTTGAAACACTATACAAACTTGCGCTTGTTCATATCATACGTGGGTATAGCATGTGTTCAGCTCCTATAATATAATATTTTATGTCGGCGTTAGGTAATTAAGTATACAATTTCATTTTATGTAGGTGCGTATCTTGTTTCATTGGATAACAAAGCAAGACCTGAACACAATCAACTTTCCTGACAACATAGATGAAGACACGCCGATGGGATTTTTATTCGCCATAAAACACGGACGAAAAACATACGCCGAATTATTCTCGCGTCTTTGCAGGTAAATTAGGATCAATTACATTTGAATATCACATGAAGATGGATAGTGGATTAAATACTAGATACCAAATTTGGAAATGACAGAAAGATTCCTTAGAGCAGTGGTTCCCAACCTTTCTTGTAAAATTCCACCCTTTACGTATTTTATTTAAAACTCTTCATTGCTTCCTCCCTATACATTAAACTACTCTAGTCAACCTAAGAGAACTTTTCTATAAAACAGGTCACCAGCAGGCCTAGGCTATTCCATTTTGAATACCATTACTGAGTGACGCCACACACGATTACATACAATTGTGATGTCATAATACCAATATAAAAATTTATAGTATGTCATCGCGAAAAAATGAATAAATATGCGTAAAACACGGAATTTTAGTCGCCGTCGCCAATCACGCAAGTATCTTGGAAAGTAATTCGAGTTCAAAAACAATTTATCAATTATTGTCTTTACTGGTAGATAAAATTACATTTCTCAAATTTAACAAATCTTGAATAAAAATAATCTTTGAAGGCTTAAAAATATCCGATAACTTTCGTAAACGCTAGTAGCAATAAATATTTATAAAACGTGCCTATACCTCCACATGAACAGCGCAAGCGGTTGAGCGTTTTCAAGTTATTTACAACCATCCCAATTTTCTCATGTCATTATATCCTTAACACACAAACATAAAAATGCAAACATATCTACATCAATCATTTTCATTACCTATATTTGACACCGGAAAATGATTAACTCATTCAGTAACAAAATGAAATACAAATCGATCTATTTCTTTCAGCGCTGCCGGACTTCATGCCAAAGTTATCACTGGATATTTAAAGGGAGTTGGCTATTTACCAGACTACAAATTTACTGGTGCAGGAGATCCTTTTAGGGGATCATGGAATGCAGTGTTAATAAATGGCCAATGGAGACTAATCGATACACACTGGGGAGCGAGACATGTTATAGGTCAGTGGACAAGTATTACCTGAAATCGTGATGTTAAGAAACTGCCGTTCAAACTTTTCAGATCAGCCTTGATTTCGAAAGACTAGTATATTCAAAATGCTCGGAAATTTTATCAATATTTGATCTAGTTTACTGTTCTTTATATTCAATCATTGCATCGTTAAAAATCTAATTTCAATCCACACAGGAAATTGAAATAACTCTTGGTAATAAAATAAATGCTTTGTGAAAGTTTTATAGCTTTCGTTCCGAGGACATAAAGTGACACTATAACAAATATACGAATAACACTAAGTTGTTCAGGATTTAAAATAAACCCAACCTACTAAAGAAATTTCGTATTACTTTATATTATTCAATCGTAACGAGGAATATTTTTAATACAGAGGATGACGATGTTCCCAGTGCAGAACACGAAACAATCTACAGATACGAAGAACATTATTTCTTAACTAATCCAGATCAACTTATTGTAACACACTTTCCTGATGAAGTAGAATGGCAACTATTATCAAATCCTATAACATTGGAGCAATTCCAGGTACATAACAAGAATATATATGCAGTATATAATGTAACATGGCATGTACTGTAATATGTTGATTCATTCCAGCAATTTAAAAACAAATAAGTTTTGCTCTCATGGAACATCCCAGCTTTAAACCATGAGTGTTGCATTCAACACCTTCACTGTTAGTTAGTTTTACTCTACAAATTTTTCGCTCTCTAGGAAACAGTCAAGATATGGCCTCTCCATTACAAGCTGAAGTTACAGTTAAACTCACATCTACATGGCGTTGTTCAAGCTCCACAAGATGGCGTAGTAGAAATTCGAGTAAAAACATCAGATTTTGCAAGACGAGATGCAGAATTTAAATGTGACTTCATGACGAAACAAAAGTTACGCAGTGTTGGCAAATTTAAACTTGCATGCTTCACGTTTCACTATACTGAAAAAGAATTTCAGGTAAAATAATAGAATATACAACAGGATTTAAATAATTGCGATGTGTTGGCTTTGACGATGTTGCAGTATATCATTATTCTGTTTGAATACTCTTCATAGACTATAGAAAAAATTATGGGGTTAATATGCTAGTGCTTGGGTAACCTATTTCATCGTGTTCCATTTTATATTACAGGTCTTTCAGGTTCATTGTCCTGCTGTTGGTGAATATATTTTAAAGATATTCGGGATGTCTAAAAAATTTTCTGACGAAGAAGTATTCACCAATATAGCTTTATATCAAATCAATTGTCCAAAATTGAAATCGAAAGGAAAACATACTCCGAAAGATCCGACAAATGTACTGCCATCTGAAATATCCGCTCCATTCCCCGAAGTAAATATGCCATGGGGACCACCAACAGGACCAAGAGCTCTTGCTGTATCCCCCATGTCACACGGAGGGCCAATTATAACCTGTGATAAGAATGGCGAAGCAACTTTAGTTATGCAAATACTGAGGGGAGAAAATTTATGCTTTTTACAGCAGCTGTATGAAGCGGATGGTAGAGTTGACACAACTAAACAGGCTCTTCAAGATAATGCTGTGCATTTAACAACTATGACAAGGAGTCAACATCGAGCAGTCGTGTTTTGTATTCGCACTCCCCATTCTGGAAACTTTTCACTGAATCTTTATCTCAATACGGAATCTGAAGGAAATTTCACTGGTTTCTGCAACTATCTAGTTGTTTCACCCTCACAGTCGAAGCAAGCCGTACCCTTTCCAACAGTACCAAATGGAGATCTGGGGCCAAACGCGAAAATCTGTCGTGACTTGGGAATATTTCCCAGAGCTTTTAATAAGTACGTGACGCATAACGCGGGTAAATTCCTATCAGATTTTGGTGAATCATGGATTCAAACAAATGAAGAAAATATGGCATTAATCACATTTACCCACTCGGAACCTATGGTCTTTCTGGCTGATTTGTCCGGAACAGGTCGCTGTGCTGGCGCAGACCTCTCCAGAAACATTTTGATAGAAGATACAGGCAAAAAAGTACGAATTATCATCCACCCTCCAAAATTTGACCATGATTCTCCGGAATGCGCGTTAAAAGTGTTCGCCGCGCCTGCCACTCAAAAGACAGGTATACCTGTAGTTTATACAGCGTTTGTTCAAAACGCTAGTAAAGAACCAAAACTTCTCCCTCAATCTCCAACAAAAAGATGGGGTCCCGGAACAAACAACCTTGATGCTGAGTTTTCTGTGGTATCGATCTTGAACTCAGAACCATCTTGGACAGTAGATTGTGAAGATGGCGGAAAAGATCCTACGCCGTGTCAAATGTATAAAGGTGGCAAAGATATAGTCTTCCAATTTGCACTAAAAAGGTCGTTGATTTTGAAGCCTGTTTTTTCGATCATCCAGCAGAACGGGTCATTTACTGAAGTTGGTGATGGTTTCTCACTTATATCCAAAATGGATCATTTAAGTGCTACATTATCTATCCGAATTCCGAAAGCTGGTGATTATTGTCTATCGCTTTTTGGAGGAGATTCGAGTGGTCAAAGCGTTCAACTGTTGCCTCTATACTATAGTCTCTTGTCAGCCACGGCATCGAGTGAATGCACAAGTCAATTTCCACGTTCCTTCCCCATATGGAATTCAAGTATATCGCATCTCCACAGCCCTTCAAGTAAAGATCTGAAACGTAATATTGTTAACAAAATCAGCGTCTCAATAAGCGAACGTTTAGATACAACTTCACGGCCATATACAAAAGTTATGTTGTTAACCGATAAATCACAAGCAGTGTCACCTTCCAGAACCGATGCAAATATTAACCTCTATGAATGGGAATATGTTCCAGGCCCAGGAGAAAAGATTGTTAGCTTGGTTGTACAAAAGACAGCTCAGGACTCATCCTTGACATATGCACTACAGTTTGACGTAATTTAATTATTTTTAATTAATAAGTAGAAAGTAATTCAATTTAATTTTTAATTTTTAAGTAGAAAGATGTAGAATTTCTGAGAAATCGTTAATATTCATTTGACATGATTCTCTTGATGCCACTTTGAAATTATTTAGTGCCCTATGCCATTTGCATTTTTTTGAAACACATAATATATATATATATTTACAATATATTTCATTTAATGATTGCATGTATTGCCTGATAGAATTATAGTGTGAGCATCGCTCAAGATGAGTGCACTGTGTCATTTGCATTTTTCGAAGCACAAAATATATATATTTACGATATATTTCGTTTAATAATTGCGTGTATTGTCTGATAGAATTATAGTGTGGACATCGCTCAAGATAAGCTACTCAAAAATTGAAGGTGTAGTCCACTCTTCAGCCTCGATAACTTTGCGACTGAAGTGAAAGTAAACTCTTGTTCTACTTTTTTTCACCTGCAACCATTATTATAATTAGTTGTAGGACATCCAGAGATATAACAAAAGATTAAAAAAATTGTATTGCGTCGATGCGATGTATTGGGATATACCACATAAACATGGATCAAAACACTTAACTTCGATTTTATAGAAATTTTATATGCATATTTCCATAGAAAATCGGCAGTGTCTCACAGACACAAGGTATACGTGGAAATAAATGAATGCCTTCATAAATTTATATTGCGTCGCCCTAGTGTTGTGTGCCTGTTGTAATAGACCTAAGTCATTCCAATCTCATCAAATGCAGAAGAACATAAATTGGCAAAAAACGCGAAAATTTCAACCTTAGGTCTCATGGGGAAAGTGGTCACAGGATCATAGTGAGAAGTGTCATCACTGGGTTGTGCTTACTCACAGAGGCATAAATTTTGGCACGACTGGCTGATGAAAGTCAAGTTAGGTTTAATTTTCTAACCAGTAAAAAAGTCAGTTTTACACAAAATACGAAGAAAAAATAAATCACACATTTTAACTGGGGGAAGTGAAGCCGCGCGAAACCAAAACTGGTTATCGAGCAGCGACACCAAAGGATCAAATATATATATAATAAAAAAGATCGGGAAGTTCAGTTTCGGAACTATTGTTTTTTTGTCTAAAATATAGTTTTTATTTATTGTATCGAAAATTAATCAACTAATATATTCGGGGATAGATAAATATTTTAGATTATAGTAGAAAGCCATCAAATCATAATATTGTCGGGGTATCCCCCATTTCAGCTGTATTGCTTGAAATCCGAAAGCAAAGTTATTGTGCTGAAGAAAAATGTAAAATTAATATGTATGTATATATAAACAATAAACATGTACAATGTGCATGTCAGGATATGATCTCCATATCTATGCCGGGATAGAGGGAAACAATATCACGACCTAGTATATGTGTTACTAGTCTATGTCCGGTATGAGAATAGTGATATAGTTATTTGTTCAAGATTCCTGAGCTTGATGAATAAGTAAAACAAGTCAAAACCTGACAACGGTAACATGATCTGCCGGTGATCCATGGTAACGAGGATCCGAGAGTTCACTCGTTCATTTTTTATGGGTTGATTTGATACTGACCAAAACTGAACGAGTACTGCCCTACAACTAGGGTTGGGCATTTTCGAATACCTTGTGATTTCAGAATCGAATCGAATAATTTTTTCGAATCGAATCGAAACTCGAATACTTGAAAATATATAATTGTAAGCGACTTTATTATAGTAATTGGTCCTCTCAACAAATGAATTACTGAAGACATAGAATGATTCACTCAGATAGATTACTGAGCGTTCACACAGAATAACAAACACGTTTTATCAATAACTCACTACAGAAAATAGTCATATGTTAGAATTCCGTTGAAAAAATATGACTCAAATGAAAAAAAAATTGGGGAATTCACCTCGACCATTAGCGGAAAGATAAAAACAAGATGGCGGCGATTCGAAATTTAGCTCTGAACCGATTCGAATAATTTACTATTCGATTCGAATATTCGATTCGAAATGCCCAGCCCTACCTACAACAAATGCTCAATATACTGGATTATTGATGAAAACTTTCGCTTACTTTGACATTGGGCGGAATATTATCATTTGTATATTTAGTTTTGCAGACATGAATAATTGAACTTGTGGAGTCGGCAAAGGGGTGCTATTTCAATGGCCTATATTTAGCCGATCAGGTCACTCGAGTTCTGGCGTTGTGGACCTCCAACCTTGCCCGTTCGCTTGGTTCAGCCTGATTCCGTGGTTTCGCGCATCAGTGATTGGAAAATCAATAATGAATCCACTACATCATCACGCTTCCTAGTAGTCCACGGTGCTCTGTTTCACCCTTGATCTTAGAGCAAAAATATTGCTATGATTTGGCACAACACGGAGCCTATGTTTGGGCGATGCCTTCGTGTGTGTCTCAAATCGCATACCATCGCGGTAACGTTCTGGTATAAAGAATGAAAGTCATTCTCGGCGGTGTTTGCCTGGTGCACTTTTCCCGTCATAATGTGCGCCGGATGTGACCGCTAGGGTTATAAGGATATTCCTGCTCTGTGTGACCACAACAGCTAGAAGAGCATCAGTTAAGGGGGCAACTATCGATACATGAGAAATTGCGCATGATATGGATTATGGAATGAAATTCATCAAAATGTCGTGTTCTTGTTGTGCTTCATTCGGATACTACGACGGTCCTGGACAGTGGAATGATTTTATTTGGCGAGGTCGCTTTTCTCGGCCGGGATGATATCTGTAGGTACTTTGGCAAGATGGGATACCAGATTGTCGGATGTAGGAGTTTCTAAACAAAATTCTAATTCATTTTGATAGGCTCTTCCGAGCTCATCGGTTCGGTATTTCCGTCTGCACGATCTCGAGCGTCCGTCGTCTAATGTGACCCGCTATTTGGTTTTGTCCGGAAGACCTCGGATATGTCTGTCCAAGTCTGTATGCCCTGGAAGTTTTCCTATGCGAAGTGGACACAATTCGTGTTATCCATGCGTTCTAATCCTTGAACCCGTAGCCTGTTCGGTTGTCCCTGATTGGATGAGCGAGGTTGTGGCAGTTTCACTGGCGGCTCAAGCCCTGATAATATACTTTCTTAATCTTGATAATCTCTTGGACCCAGATGGATGACGCATTGGGGCACATGGTAAACTGACAGCGCACATGGTGACTTGTAGTAATTGATTGGAAAGTGCAAGATATACAAGTTGATGTAAACTACAAAAACTAATTGACAACTCTGATCATGCAAAATTGATTGTGATGAATTTTAATGACTATGTCCGTAACACATATCACAAAAACTCAAAAATATTCACAGATGGATCCAGAAGTGCACAAATATGTGATCTGCAAAATGTTTTATCCCTCATTGGAAACCTTTGTGCAAGGAAACAAACAACTCTTTGCAAATGTACAACTATTTAAGTTGCATGATTTGGATTATGGTGGAAGCCGTACCGACTAGTGATTATATGACTCACTATACAAGAGTGAGGAGTCCAGCAATGCGAATCCGTGCAGGGTAAACGTGTTCCTAACTTTTTGCCATAGTTAACTATGGTTTAGTATGATGAGCCACTATGACTTATCAAGACAATGTTAAAGTTAATATAAACAACCAAATACTACCAATAAAATATTATATGATAAATGCGCTATTCATTTATAACATGTATATTCAATCCATCCATATCTGAAATTGTGTTCATTCCATTTATACCGGTATGTTAGTCGTTGATGTATACACGTCATTCGTGGATCAACAGGACAACCAAATAGTAATTGCTCTGTAGCACAGTAAGTGGTGATAAAACAAGATGATACCGTTGTGGGATATTGAAGTCCAATACAAATAAATAACAAGGGAGCGATGCACAAATATATGGAAGTAGTATGCAATCTGTCACAGTAGCCTACCAGTACCGTATCGCAGCAGATTTGACCTTACGCGAAGGTGGAACCGCCACAAGAAGCGTGATTTTTATTTTTGATGACGTCATCATTCACAAAAAATGAATCCCATAACTCTATGCCATAGAGCAGGGATGGCGAACCACTGACCCGCGGGTCACAAAGTGACCCACTGCGTTGTATTCGTGACCCGCCAAGGGACGAATAAAAAATAAAAATGGTAACATATCAGTGACGAGAACTAGATGATACTTTGCATTTTATTAGTTTACCACCTACATGGACGTTGAGAAAACAAAATCTTTCAGACTTGAAATAAAATCTTAGAAATCTGAAATAACAATGGGGCAGTGTAAAAGTGCTTTAATGTGGTTAAAGGCTGATTAAAAAATATAACACTATCAAAGTGGAATTCCCTCCAAACTCCTTGGAACCGTAAAATAATTTTCCTCATCCTAAACTTTTTTGGTAATTCATATGCGTGTTTTCGTACTCTAATTGCATAAAATTGAGTGCCATAATAAGTCCCTGATAGAAGTGATGCATAAGTAAAGCCCAAAACTACACCAATAGAAACTTATAAGATTTGTTTCAGAAGTTACTTATAGATGATACAAATATTGATTAAATATCTGTGACCCACTCTCTTCTTTTCCGCGATAAAATTATAATTTTTGACCCATTCATTGAAAAAGGTTCGCCATCCCTGCCATAGAGTCTATGGCAGGGATCGGCAAACTACGGCCCGCGGAACAATATAATCCGGCCCGCGACGCTTCACTGAATTATATTAACAAAACAACTGTATTGACGATTATATTCTTTACGTAACAGAATTTGTTTTGAGACACTAAATTATATTATAATCTAACGAGTATATAATTCACAATCACGCGTTTAATGAGCTTATAAATTGGTTATAATTAGACAGATGGCAACAAAACAAAAAAGTTGATGCTCAGTACAAATATTTTAATGGCGCAGAATATATTCAAATGGTCAGTTTTTGCGCGCTGCTTGAAATTTGACTGAAATATGTGTGAAAAATGTGATTCATTGGCCATTCCTTCTATTTTTAACTTTCTAAAAATATGTGCGGCCCGCCAATGACTTGCAACCTCTAATTTTGGCCCGCGAACGACAAAACTTTGCCGACCCCTGGTCTATGGTATATAGAGAACACAAACATTTTTAAATAAATCAAAGTAACAGCCTTCTAGCGAAAAATACAATCTTCAACCACTGAAATTTCAAAGCAATTGGTCCAGTAGTTAATGAGAAAAGCAGAAAAATTTTTACAAGAAAAAAAGAAATACTAACATGATGATTAACAACAATTTCGTGTTCAATAACAAAGCAAAGAGGCTTTCCATATGATTACACAGGTCGTAGGGTTATACATACACAATATTGTTAGATCGAGATTTGGTACATGCTCGGGCAAGTTCAATTCTATGTATCATAAGTATGTAATAGTGAAATACACAAATCATAACCTGACCCAATCGCATTTCACATATTTCAAGCTTCATGTGTAATCGATCTTCCTATTTTTGAGCTTTGGGGGTTACGCGTGGAAAGATCTATGGTTGATGCTGCGCAGCGGTTGGCAGTCGGGCCACAGAATGAAACCCAGTCGACAAAGCATGCTGACATAGTTTGTCATTGCAAAACGTTGGCGACGAACTGAAATTATTCTTTTTTTCGACATGTTAATTACTGTGCAAATATTTAACTGTGACAAACTATAGATCTAGCTAGACCTCGGATAACCCAGAAGAACGTCAATCTGCTCGAGTTCCATATTTGTTCGATGCTATAGCATCTATATTGCGAAATCGTACCGCCTGCAGGTGCGCCTCATAAATTCAGCATACTCATTGGTTGAAAAAATGGGCGTGTTAATAAGTTTTAACTATGAAATAGCACTACTTGAAACAGGTTTATAATTTTTATAAATTGGATTTGGAAGAATGACGTGCTAGTCTTAACGTTCATTATACGGATTTCGTGTTTGGCTTGAAACAAAATAAGCTGCCAAAGAAATACTGATAATTTTAACCAATGGAATACAAGAATGTGAATAACTTTAAAGAAAATACTCGAGACTCGAATAATCACGTTTTTGACCAAACTGTGATTTGGACCAACAATGCTTTTTACTTTATAATATTGAAGTGCGAGAAAACAGACATGTTGAGTGGGTATTTTCATCTTGAAAGAAAACGCACATAACGAAGCATTGGTGATCATAGTGCATCTGTTTGTCAGTACGGGTGAAAAACGAGTGTCAATGGATGCAGAGATACAAATGCAAGCAAGGATCAATGGATATTGTCTGGTTGTATATTGATATAGATTATCACTACCTATGTGCCAATGAAAGTTGTCTATTATCACCTATCAGCTTTCAAGGTTATTCGCAAGAACTCTGCAAAACCTGACGATGCGCCAGCGAGCCGATATATGTATAAAAGGCACCATATACTGTGTTCAAGCAGTCACGTAGACAGACGAAAGTCAACATCTGGAAGCGCCTTGCTTGGAAATTTGCACGGTCGAGGATATGATTTAAGCATTTTCTATATTTTACAAGTCAAAATGTTACTGCTATGCTGAGATATGAGTTTTTTGTAAACACAAGTATGCCGAAGACGTAGTCTACAGCTTGTTTTTAGTGCAGAAGTGATAGAATGCGGCACTAGCCCAATGGCAGAATGGGGATAGGTAACATGAGACGAGTGGATTGATCAATATCAGAATGTAAAAACTAATAAAAGCGCTGATTCTCCTGTCACTTTCTTAGCTCAATGAAGTCATAATGAATTTACGGGATTATTGCGCAACAATGCGTTATAAAACTGCAATCGAAATTGAATTTCTCATTGAGTTTTGGAAGATAGGTCGTAGTTCTGCAGATTTGTTAACATTCAGACATTGTCAGATTGTCAAGTTAGCTAAGGTCTGTTTTATTACTGTATTAATACTGCGCTGCTGTATTGTGCTATAACTCTAGGAACTTATACAAAAAGACGAGTTCGTTGTCAGACTAGGCTATTACAGTATTAACTATTCTGTTGTTCTGCAACTGTCAGACTGTACAAGGAATCTTGGTGAGTGAGACTGTAAACGTCAAAACATTTGAATTTAAATTTAGTCTATCATTTCCCAATATTCAGATATTTCAGCTGACAGTTGTTACAGTATTATTTCAGGCTATAACAGCCTGACAGACGTGACAGTTACTGTATCTGTATTACTGCAGTACTGCAGTACTGACAGACTGAGATATGAAAATTTTTGAACAAAGTAAACACAATCTGACAGTTGAAGTAAATACAGAAATTGCTAGTTTTAAAATTTTATGACTGTCAGACTGTAGGTTAGCAATATACGAACTGTGCGTCTACAGGCAGACAGACGGTTTCACCACAAAAAGAATAGTAGGCAGATCTGCAGAATGAGACTTGAATGATCTTATCTCAGCACAAAAGTGCAAAAGCTGCTAGTGCTATTCTATATTTAGACTAGTTCTCTTGTTAGATTCATGTCTTATTGTACTAGCCGAGCTGCTTTTCCCCCCCAACTAGCTAGCCCTAACAGACTGAAGGAATGTCAGAATGTAGAAAAAGCACAGCAGTATAGGACCCAATAATAATGATTATTTCCAGTCTTCATACTAACAGGCTGAAATTCTGTTTTAAACAGTTCTGCAGTTCGATATTATAACATATCATACAATTTTCATCTGCTGTAGGCATCAACAAACATGACTCACCAAGCACAATATCTTCCTGAAAGCCGCAAAAAAGAACTTGCGGAAATTGCGGCGAAGATCGTGGAAGGAGGACGTGGAATACTTGCTGCAGATGAATCCTCAGGTTTCTACCAGTTTACACTTTTCAGTATATTATTGAAACCTTTATGTGCTTGATTATTTGTGTGTTGCTCTTGCTTCTTTGCACTATTAGTTATTTGCTTTGTTGTTTTGCACTGTGTAATGCATCCATGACAGTATTATTGATCAACACATAAACTTCGAATCTTTTATTTTTTAATAATTTCAACAAATGAATAAATAATATCCAATATCACTACATAACATCTTCCTAAACTGTAAAGATTATTTCTGAACAATCTAATACATCGTCGAAACTCCATTTTTGGCTCAAGGTTTTATCCAATGAAAAATCGTGCTAGAATGCTTATTTGGAGATATCCTACTTGTAATGCTTGTGATTTGGATTTTGAATTTAATGCCGCTGTTTAACATGCATATTGGTCGATTTCACTTCATGACGGCTGCTTTCACCATCATTTTAGTCAACAATCGCTTAGTTTCATTGTGATTACTGTGCTGCTTTATACTGACAGATTTCATTTGTGTATTTCATTTTCATGTAATTTGGCTTCATCATGTAGAATATTTTGAACAGCAAATTGTTACTAAAACAACTTGTCACACATTTTATGGCTTTTATATTAATGACTTTTTAGCCACCATAAGTTATGTAGATTATGAATATGATTTGTTGTATGCCATGTTTGTTGAAATTTGTACTTTAAAATTGTTGTGTATTAGGTTGTATCTCTTACTCGTTACCTATCTGTTATTTTGAAGTTTGGTTCTGACATGATTCTCTTCTACATTAAATTAATCAATATAAAAATCTGATAAATCAAAATAAATATCTGATTCCTTATTAATTTATGAATTAGTTCTGTCTGTTCTGTAGTTATATATTAATAATGATTCACTTTTATTTTAATTTCCGTTTGGTAATATAGTTCTGTTTAGGTAATTTTTATTTAACTGGTTTTCACATTAACCCCACATTGCAAAATGACTCTCTGTGGCACTAATATCAGTGATGAAACTAAAGCAATGCTTAGAAAAACGGCAGCAAAAATTGTTGGAACGCCGGGAAAAGGTATTTTAGCGGCTGACGAGAGTACAGGTATGTGTTAACTGAGAAAAAACTGACACATCACACTTACTGACACTATTTTCATTTATCATTGCCTACATGGCATGACAATGCAAATTTTCAAGACGTTTAAAAACAACATGATCGTTAGTATGCCAAATTTATTAAAATATATCATATTGTGAATTCGATTTTTCTAAATGGAACATTGTTACGCTTACACTTTGATAGAAAGTTATACTTTTGTGATTTTAGTATTGTTCAATGCATGCGAGTTTTGTTGCTTGCTGCTTCAATTGCTGTTTATTTTGCTTTGTTTATATTTGTGTACTGACTCAATGTATCACATACTTATTAACAATCGCAATAATACGCCATACATTACTTCATTTTTAGGTACAATGGGAAAAAGATTGTCCCAGATTAAGGTAGAGAATGTAGAAGAAAATCGCCGCCAGTACAGAAAACTTCTTTTCACTTCTGGTGATCAAATGAGTGAGTTCATGATTTCTATTGTTTGTCGGATATTAAGTCTGCTACAACCTTCATGCTAACCATGTAATCCTTTATTTAAATTTCAGACAAAAGCATAGGAGGAGTTATCCTATTTCATGAAACTTTATATCAAAAGGACGACAATGGAAAGTTTTTGAGAGATTATCTTAAAGAAAAGGGCATTGTTCTTGGAATCAAGGTAATAAATATATTATGGTCATTGTGTAGTTTATTCGCAGTTACTCTTTTAATACTCTCATTATCACAAAATGAAATTTGCTAAGCATCAAAAATCACCTTCGTAGCTCAAATATATAAGGAAATTTCTGCTATGATGCAAGCATAGCGATAATTAACTAGACTAAGTTGTTTAAAAATAAGATTTAATTTTTTTGCTGCATATTTTGTTACAAATACTGTGGCATTATGTACAGCGCAGCACAATATTTTGTATAACAGTATTCAAAATATTATTCCAGAATATATGTTCAATGTAGAATGATTCAACCAGCTATGACATGCCCATCTTAATTATTCCCTATGGTTTTCCTCATTCTATAAGTTTTTTCCATTATTAGTTGCCGTAGAATGAATGTATGTAGAAGTAGAAACCTTGTGTTGTGTATTATTTATATCCTTCTGTCTCACCACAAAAATATAATACAAAATCGATATTTTCAGGTGGATAAGGGTGTTGTACCATTAGCAGGAACCTTCAATGAATGTACAACTCAAGGTACATTGTATAGGCCAGTATAAATTAGTACCAGTCTCATTAGATAATGTGGTAAAACGTTGATGTTTTTATACTTGTCTGAACTTGTCTCTGGAGAGTCTGTGGATCTGGTGGAAATAAATTCGCAAGCAGACAGCCATGTATGGTCTGCTGAACAAATGTGTCACAAAGGCTTTGTTTATATGCAGCTCATGTTTGGTTTTACATAAAAGTTATCAAACTGTTTCTGCTTGGTCTGCAATTTGAGTTTATTCAAGAAAGGTTAAATATATATATTCCTAACGTTACCTGAATGTAATCATGCTGAATGATGGATTAGTATTAGTTGATCATTAATTTTATGTTCGTTGAGCAACCCGCTGCATTTCTTGCAAAATAGCGGTTTAAACTTGATTGACCTTGGAAGTATTTTGTAAGTTTCGAGTAGCACAAGAATTAATTTACAAATTATTTCATCAATTCAAATTGATGTTACATAGGCTATTGCAAAATGGATATATTTTCTGTAATTGTTGGTAAATTTCAATACAATTTAAGGTGAAAAATTTTCAGTGATATAAATTTATTCAAATTAGGGACTGATACTGCTTCCAAAAGGCATCAATAAAATTGTAACCTGTAATTTCTTGTAGCATGCCTATGCTGCTTTCAAACTACTCTCAATTATGTTTCCTTTCTCACCTAATAAACCATATTGCATGCTTAGGTTTGGATGGACTTGGTGAAAGATGTGCTCAATACAAAGCTGATGGTTGTGATTTTGCAAAATGGCGATGTGTTTTGAAGATCACTGACAAGACTCCATCTCAACTTGCTATCAATGAGAACGCCAATGTTCTTGCTCGTTATGCTTCGATTTGCCAGCAGGTAAAGCCCAATGGGATTTGGTATAAATTGGTAGTATAAGTATGTCTAACCTTTGCAGACATATCAATCAACTTGCTTAACTTTTTTCTGTAGTGCTAAGATATAACCAGTTTATAGTAATGAGCCACTTTAGGTGTTAGGATGTTAAGTTTTATACTACTGTTACAAGATAGTTAATTGAAATTTCAGATGCGATTTATCAGCCAGTGAAGTAAGTCCTCATTTCAGCCTAATTGAAATTTATACCTGATGCTTACACTACCATTACGGCATCGTGTTGTAGAATTTTAACTTTTGAATGAGTGCACATCCATACCTTAGGCTATTAAAAATACTAATATAATAGTGAATAAACATTTTTTTCTAGCATGGCATCGTACCCATTGTTGAACCAGAGATTCTTCCAGATGGTGAACATGACCTGGAAAGATGCCAATATGTTACCGAAAAGGTAGAGTTCTTACTAGGACTTTTCATGAATAAATTAAGTCTAGTTAAAAGGTAACTATCATTCAACTTCCTCCTCACCTTTTATCATTGTGACTGTGACTATCAGGAAACGTGAAATTATAAACAGTTATGCATGGCCATGGATAGAGAGCACTCTGAGTCACTGTACTTTGAGTGGGAAGCCATTTAATTAAAGTGAAAATATTTGTCAAGATAAATAATGATATTGGCATGAACTACAACAATTCTTGTGTCAATCAATGGTTTGTGTACCTACCAGACAACAAAAAATTCCATTCCCAAAGTTTTTTTCAGTTTTATGAAATTCAGTACTTCAGTACAAATAATGACATGTTAATCATAATCCAGGTCTTGGCCGCTTGTTACAAAGCCTTGAGTGACCACCATGTCTACCTTGAGGGAACACTTCTCAAACCAAACATGGTCACTGCTGGACACAGCTGCCCAATCAAGTACACGCCACAGCAAGTTGCTGAAGCTACTGTCACTGCTCTTAGAAGAACTGTACCCTGCATTATGCCAGGTAGGTATTTCTAGTTAGTCTTCTGTGCACTGTACTTTATCTTATAATCACCAAAAGTTATACTTTGAATTAGTTGTGTTTATTTATATGTAGTCTTCATAAATTGTGCAAAGCTGGAGTCGGAATTGCTATGGGATAATTAGTATTAGAATATTCTTGACTGGTTATGCTTCATATTTTTTTAGTTTTGATGCTTATGACTGGATTTTGTTCGTATTGGTGACATTGCCAGCAACTTATGTTGAGAATATTTTATAGTATTGCTGTTAGGGGCATGTGTATAATTATATGCACCTTTATTGTGGGTAAAGTGGGTTCTATCATGAAACCGATTCAAACTTGAAAATTTTGCTTTAAATTATATAGGCATTATAAAAAATTCATGATATTTTGATTTAGTGATCAATAATAACTTTAAGTCTACTTCATCGTCTGCGGTTGTATTATATGTGATGTATTAGTGCTCACTGTCTATTTGATATTGCATTTCTTAGATTTGGTTCGATATCTAGTAAGCTATCTGATGAGGATCCCTTGGGATTGCTGAAGTAAAAAATGAGGCCATTTGCAAAATGCATTATTTTTAAAGCATTTGGCATTTATGGAGAATCAGCCGGGATTTTTCTAGCCCATGTTTGGTCTCCTGGCTTCCAGCTGAGAAACGGTTGTGTAGTGAGAGTATGAATGAGTGCTTTTGTTAAGTAAATTTTTTTTATCTTTATCCAGGCGTCACTTTCCTCTCTGGTGGTCAATCAGAGGAAGAAGCTACCGCTAATCTTAATGCTATCAACAATGTACCTGGTATCAAACCATGGGCCCTCTCGTTCTCATTTGGCCGTGCATTACAAGCATCTGTCTTATCAGCATGGGGTGGAAAAGCTGAAAACACGGATGCCGCAAAGAAGGCTTTGCTTTACCGTGCACAGGTTTGTGAAATAAGTGATTTATTTACATTTGTCTCCTGATGGGGAAAGTGAGTTTCATGTTTTTCCATTGGACACTCATTTCATTAGGAAACTCGATTTGCGCACATTTAAAACCAATCCTAAACATCATGGCGCAGACTTAGTATGCACACTAGAACATCATTTCTTGAGCATGGATAGAATTTACGCAATTATCCTGGGGGGAGAGGAAAGTGTGGGGGGGGGTGATTATTCGTGAGAGGTTTTTTGAAATCCCCGCCCGTCGGCGCAGGGTAGTTACGACATCTTCGACCTTCAAGTTCATGCTTATAAATGTTTGCTAACTATTTCCATACCCGACATGGACTGGTAACAGCATAATAAGCCATGGATCACCATATGATTGAGCCGTCTTATTGTCTTTCTTCTCTTCGGGGTCTCAGGATAAATACTCAAATTTATCCTTTTTCAGATGAACAATCTCGCAGCACAAGGAAAATACGAAGGCGAAGTTGCTGGTGGAGCCGCAGCTCAGTCTCTTTACGTCGCAAATCACCAATACTAGTTCTATACTCTCATAAGTTCACATATAATCTTCTACTCCAATCTCCACTAATTATATATATTTACAATTTCGCATTGCTGGTGCCATAGGATTTTTGTGCTTCTATGTTTGACCAATCATGTAATTATAATTAAAATAGCTTTGGAGCTAAATTTTTATTCATACATTATTGGTCAATAGTAGTGTCAAATGGACAGCAAGTTTGAGTTCATGCATGCATTAAAATAATCTCTGTAATTTTAAGTGCAGTAATGTATACAAGTGTTATTGTTTATTCAAGAAATTTCCTCCGATAGATTAGGACTGTCAAGGTAGTCCGCCTTTTTAGCACCTTAAGTTACAATACTGTATTTAGTTCCGTATATGTTTGGCCTAATTAAATTCCTTGAAATAAATACGAGTTCAATGGCAGAGGGTTATAGCTGTATTGCAGGTAATCCAGTTGTTAGAAATCCGTGCTGCACCATATGATTATGCCGACATCGTTTTTGCTTGATTTTTCCCATTTGATTCAGTGTGACATGGTGTCGCAACGCTGGATAGAAATGTTTTGGGTTCCCGTGTTGCTTCTTCCATTCATCACCAGTTTTCTCCCTTTTCGCATCTATTCTGTAAAATTAGGAAAGCATTGTTCTTTTGCATGCAAAGGAGAATGGGCTGGGGTATTAAATAGGGGTGGACAAAATAGAGTTACCATATATTTTCGAATTGCGAAAAACCGATCCACAGTCATCGCGAGTATTTCGAACAGCCCACACCCTGATGTTTGTGGCGACGTTTTCCCTTTTTCAAAACGCGAAAGATGATAATAATTTATTTTTTTGATCGTGTGTGTTCTATTTTCGAGTTTAATAAAAAAAAGTAATTGCGTGTTGTATTCCCCATTTAAATAGTGATAACACCGACTCGGCTATGTGGCGCACCGTGCTAAGAGTTTGGCATACCCTCGCCACCGCGCACCTCTGATTACCCTAGGTAGGTTCGCAAGCTCAAATCCCGTGGAAGGAATTGCGGGACACCCTAGGGTGATTCAAGTAGCCGCTGATAGGTTTCAAAAATTTTAAACCTCTAAATTTGAAGTCTCACAGTTTATTAGAGTGATGAGCTGTAGCCGGAACGGTGTTCCGGTTGTTGAACATTTTACTGCATTTGCGTTCCTGTTGTTGAAATAAAATTGTGGTACAAAAAGTCTAGTTTCTTTGGTAAACTCGGTTATTAATTTATGTTTCGTTACATCATTATTCGTAAGTCTTTTCACGTCACATCACGCAACTACTTAGTACAGCAATTACGTGTAATAGATGTTTTCCCGATCTCTGACTCCATGAATATTCATTCATTTGTATTGAATTGCTAAGAATACTCGTGTAGTTTTACACAAACATATTTCATATAATTTCTTCACAGTTCATTGCAGTTCTGTAAACGTCCGCGTCGTGTTGTGAATATATTATATTTTTGCGAATTAGGTGCGTTCCGGTTGTTACGATTTTTCCAGCTCGTCACTGGACATCCCCATTGTGCATCAGGGTGTGTTCAAATGTGATTCACTTGTGGGTGCAGAAGGCCACTTGACAAAACGTATTTTAGAGGATTTTGGTGGTGAGATGCGTGTTGCTAGGAAATTTCTCAGTTGCTGAACAAAAACCACATTTACCTCTCTCTACATTAGCCCCACAATGTCAAATGAATGTTCCGGTTATGGGGGTTGAAATAAAAAAGTGACCCATTATACAAAAGCACGTTACTCATTGATTCGGATGTTGATTACATATATGTTATCCATGGTTTCTGTGTCAGAATGAGAATATAAATTTTGGGGGCTCCCGAAGTATGCGAACCAAGATGGCGGACATCGGAATGTAATATGTGTACTAAGTTAGGTTTAGGCCATAATTTTAGGTATAAATACTACGGGAGGCTCTTGGCTAGTCTTCGAACTGATAATAGAACTAAAATAAGGAAAATTGGAAAAAAATTATCGCCTAACCCTAACCTGTTCTCCATGTTACGTTCCGATGTCCGCCATCTTGGTTCGCATACTTCGGGAGCGTCAAATTTTGAATCATTCATCAAAAACGTTTACCATTCCCGCCCTAGTGCATGTCGGTAAATAAATTTCTGAGGAATATGGACGAGGTAGAATTTCTCTTAGAACTTGTTGCGGATAAAGCACGCTTGATGACTATTCACATTTTAAATAGAACTGACAACAAGTACCTTACTAGTTGCATTCCTATGCTTTCCAAGTATTTCTAGAAGCCGTAGAAGCTTTACAGTTTCAGTAGTCACGTAAGGTTAAATTTTTTTAAATATTTCGGTAAGAATATTTTTAATAACATACATACGGATGCCAGTTTACCGATATGTCGCATTCAAATTTCGGACCCTTTTCAATTATACAAACAGATTAGAATTTACGTAATATATATATTAGAATTAGTAATTTTGCAATTTGCAAATATATTCGCAGGAAGCTAATTTGGGCAAGTTTGAACGTTTTTGCTAACTATTAATCATTATTGAAAAATATTCCTACCTTCAATTTTATCCAAGTCCGTCGCATCAAATCTAAATTTGTGGTGAAAAATGGAGCCTCGGATTCTCAATTTGCTCATCACTACGTACAACAACATATGTGCACAGTGGTTTCGCGGAGTTGAAGAATGCTCCTCTCTACATAGAAGGTTCCAGAATCCACTTGCAGCATTGGTGAGTTGTCCAGCTTCGATATTTTCTAGGCAGCAATTGAACTCTATTGTAGCATCCGTAGTAGGATTGATTGAATATCGCGAAACGAAATTTTTACTGTATCTTCTCAAGCGAAGATATAAAGCGGAATGTCGAGATTTATCAGCGACATGTAGGAGTAAGTGGCAGCACTTTGCTTTCAGCGAAGGCGAGTCATGATGTGATTGTAAAATATTCCACACGATAATTGAACATCCCCTCACATCGCATTTGCGAAGACATTTTAAAGCTTGGATATATATCAACGTTGAATCATTTTTTTCGGAATGAAACCAATTTAGTAGCATATGATCGTTTTCTGGAAAATTCATCAAGCTTACGGTTTTTTCCGTTGTCAAACCCATGGGATACTGAACAATGTTTGCATACGTCCAGGTTTTCAAGATGAGCGCCTCAAGATAAAAACAAGAATGATATGTGAAACTGTCAAAAATATCAAGCAAGTTAGTAAGTTGAAGATACACCTTATGAAATCCACCGTCTAATATATTTTTCGTGAATCGTTTAACCAGGCAGTCAACAGAACCATACAAAACGGGGTGACGTAATACCTGCATTGGAGCTTGACGAAAATAGTCTTTGTATTTTAAAACATCGTGTATATGAAGAAGTAGGGTTGCTAACAATCCTGCATACCATGTAATTATGTGCACACTTTTGTGTCCACGATTGTATGCGACACTAAAGTCGTTCAAAGCTTGACAAACGTAATCAATGCGTTTTTTATCAGGCATTTTCGTTTTCATTATAATAGGAAGATGGGCAAGGTTGGCTAACGCATCATTATAAATTGTTTGTTTAATTTTAGATTCTCGAATTCTGTACTGAAATTCCACAGACTTCAAAGCGTCTTCTATCCAGTTTTGTCGGCGTTGTGTTGCAATAATTTTGTTTAGTGAAACAAGCAAAAATTTTGCAGGGATATTTCTCAATTCAGCTTGACATATCTCAAATGATTCCTGTAGAATTTTTCGTGCCTGACAAAAGTTTTCCATCTCAATATTTGCATGAACGATTAAGGATCTGAAAAGTAGTCGTGAAATACCGTCAGTATGCTCTGCAATACATTTATTTGAGTAGTTTATAATATCTTTCATCTGCATACATTTTCGTAGTGACTGGACTTGTATATTTCTCATATAAATGAAATTTTCCGATTTAATAAAATCTTCGTTTGTTTTTGCTTCATCGTATTGACATTCTGTCCATATTTCAGCCAATTTTAGACATTCAGTGTACCGTTCGCGAAAATAGTGAATGGTACACATCATCTCAGTGAAGTATTTCGGTTTTTGCTCCACGCAGTTGTCGAGTGTTTTTTCCAGTTTTGTTATATATTCCTCTTTTTCAAATTTGTCGTCGCAATTCTGCGCAAGGTTCCAATATACTTCTGCAAGACCTCGTGGTGGTGTACTATCCGTACATATATTTTGCAGTATTTGTTTATGCTGAATATCGAAACCATATTGCTTTAGTGTTAGATTGTAATGGTGCCTGTTTTCTTTAGTAGAAAAGTATGTCTTAGTAATTAGCAACATATTCCTTTCGAAGTATTTGAAGTCAATGTTATCAGTCTTCCTATAAGTGAACATGTGAAAAGATGCTGTCATAATACGATTACTTAGTAGTAAACATTTTCTTCCGGCGAACTTTGAAAAGTCTATATTCGTAGTGTTTCTTCGGTTTCGTTCGCCAGAAGCATAAACTTTGATTCTAATCTCATTCGCAACAGTAAATGCGTATCTAAGATCTGTGACGTATTCTAAAACGTCTTTATAGTACCTTTCAATATCTACACCGAAGTTTCCTTTAGTAACATTGGGATTTTTATTTGCATTTTTGAAATACTTGGTAATTGTGTCTATCAGAGCAAAATTCGTAAGTTCCATTCCACCGAATATATTCGCCATATACGACAACCATGTCGTCAGTGGACGGTATAATCTATCCTTAGCTTGCTCACACGGGCCAACCTGGAATCGTCGTGATCCAGAGATATTTCGATTTACATTTTTAATCAAACTTTCCACATGTTCTTTGACTAACAGATCCCTATCTTTGCTTTGGAGGAATGTTCTCGAATGTTTTTTGAATTGATCATAAACATCATGAAAGCCTTGAACAAAATGAGTGCGTACTAAAATATCTTTAAGATAGTAACCGTTTTTAATATGTTCTTCGGAAGTTAAATACGACACCATTTTGCTCACCGGTTGAATGAGTTCAACGATATGTTTTCGATATCTTGATGGCTCCTGTTTTCCAAGAGGTGTATTGCACGAATGAGGCACCCTTCCATCAAATGCCACACCTCTTGGAGTAAACGTGTCGTAAAACCAGTTTTGAGTTTGATTTCCAGAGTACAAATCATTTATACTTTTTACTCCAACGCTTCGAATAAGAGTTTCACCAAATCCAACAACAATAATTTGGAACAAGACAGAAAACCAACGAAAATATTCTTTTACGTTGTTATATTCCGATGAATCCTGAATTTTCTCTTCGAGAACTATAACATGCTCGAAATCAGAATAAAGTGTTATTTCCTTGCGAGCCAGTGATCCTAAACCAGCAACAGCATATTTGCAAGGTGGTTTCCCAAGAATATCAATACATTGTGACGATATTGAACTCATTAGCCAGGTAAATTTTTGTGTGTT